TTTTTGTTGAATGTTAAGGCGTTCGTAGCGACCGATATTAATGATGTAGAATGGAAGGTAAACACGTATATGAGGTTTAGTAGAATATTTACTACTTCTAATCCATGATTTCTATTTCAAAATAATTGATGCACACCCAGCCCTCTTCCTCTTGAAGAACAGTTTTTCTCTACTGAGTTTCCTCTACACTCTCCGAAGTGCCCCTTGCTACCTCAAACAGGATTTCTTAAATGAGATAGATATCACAATTAAGAGATGCGCTAATTTGTAACGTTAATTTCGACGACACAGGTTGGAGACAGGCAAAGCTCCCTTTGAGTTTCGGAGGCCTGGGCCTTCGATCAGAGGTAGATTTGGCCTTTCCAGCATATCTTTCTTCACTTTCGTCCAGTCGCGAATTAATTGATGAGATAGTCGGTGGATCGTCTCATTGTTTCTCGGGTAGTTCTTTCGAACAAGCTTGCAGCGCCTTGGCCCAAGAATTACTTTCTATCCCACAAGACACATCAAAACAAAAAAGCTGGGATAAAATAAAATGCGAGGCCAATTTTTCTGATTTGAGGCTCTCTCTGGATCAGCATCGCCTCACCTGTCTACTATCTGCTTCACAACTGAGTGGTGGCGCCTCTCTCAACGCAGTGCCCTCTTCATCTACCGGTATCCTTCTAGATGACGAGTGCACTCGGATCGGAGTTGCGATCCGTCTTGGACTCAAATTATGTGAGCGTCACTGATGCAGATGTGGAGTTTCCATTGATGAATTCGGTTTGCATCCTCTCTCCTCTTGTCATAGTGCCGGCCGCTTTCCACGGCATGTAGCAATAAACGACATCATCAAAAGAGGTTTGGATGCAGCTGGGTTCCCTTCCCAAATCGAACACGTAGGCCTCGATCGCGGTGATGGAAAGCAGCCGGATGGCATTACCATTTTCCCTTTTAAAATGGGTAAGTCGTTGATTTGGGATGCGACCTGTGCGGATACATTTTCGGCCGGTAATTTGATCAGGTCCGTGGTTGAGCCGGTATCCGTCGCCCGGGACGCAGAGATAAAAAAATAGTTAAATATTCTTCTCTTGCTGATAGATTATTTTTTGCTCCTCTGGCAGTGAAGACTTCAGGGGTTATTGGCCCTCGTTCGATGGCGTTCCTTCGGAGGATTGGCGGGATTGCGTCTCGATTAAGGGACGAGCCTGGCGAAACGGAGTGGATCTTGCAGCGTGTCTCACTGGCGATGGTTCGAGGTAATGCTTTCTCCATCATTGCGGCTGGCAGAGGATAGAAAAAAATGTTTATAGTTACTTTGTTCAAACGTTTTTTTCAGTAAATACATTTCGTTTTCTATTCCAAGTTAATTGACTCATTTGTAAATAAGAACAAAAGAAAATTCAACGAAGATGATTTTATCAATTAAATGCTTAGAACCATTCATTTTTAGAATAAATTTTAATAGCGTCCTACATACATTTAAAACCCGTTAGCAATTTGTTATTCATATTGTGGTTTTGCTATTTTTTGAACATCGTTAACAAATACAGTAAAGATGAAAGTATTGTAACAGTTCAAATTCAAGCCTAAGATGTTGCGCTAATGTCCTTGAAAAGCTACGAATCAATCGTTTCTACCACAGCTACGCAGGCAAAAGAGTGGGATTCTACCTCAGCTACGCATTTGTAGAATTTGGTTTCTAACTCAGATATGCATGTGAAAGATTGGGCCTCTACTTCTGCTACGCACGTGAAGGGTTGGGCTTCTACCTCAGCTATGAATGTGAAGTATTGGGATCTCTATTCTTGACTGCAAATCAATCTAAGAGATGGAAAAACTGAATTCCAAATCGTAGAGAAGGCAGCAGAAAACGGTTGAATTGTCTTGTCCAGGAAGGCATAGCATTTTCCAGATAAAGGGTCTGAATATCCGTGTCTAACTACGTCCTGAAAAAAAAAATGATACTTTAAAAAAGTGCATAATATTATGTTGTGTGAAATTTTTAGCTGAAGCATTGTCAACCATTATTAATTTTTTTTTATAAATATATATATATTTAAATATTTAATTAATTTCTTTTTTATTCAAATTTATTTGCTAATTTGCTAATAGCTCACTCAAGAAGTAAGGTCGCCTTGTTAGAGCGTTATTGAGTGAGATTGATGTAAATTCTTTCTTCCTTTAATAGTCAGTTTAAACTAAACTGACTATTAGAGGATGAACAATTTAGACGTTACAAATTAAACTATTTGTAATATATATATATATATATATATATATATATATATATATATATATATATATATAAGAGCAAATATTGATAAGATAGCGAGTGTCATAAAACACTGCCCTGGGCATCCCAATACAGCTCCCCGCCCCCCGGTCGAAATATTTGCGATATTGTTCCTGAACAGGGGAGTTAACTCCGTCAGTGTGCCGACAAACCACTCAAGTTGATGACGTAAAATGAAAGTAAACATAAAAATAGAATACAATCAGATACCGCTAAAGGCAGTAGACAGGTGGTTCGGACAGATGGAATGGCCGGTTACACAGGTAACGTGCTTCTAACAGTAAACAAGCTCACAGTACAAAACAAAGAGCTAACTGTCAGTACTTGTGTCTTGTTGCCACAGACAAGATAATTTCAACATTACTCATTGGTAGAGGTGAGAAAGACAAAGAAGGAAAGGTTATTGAGACGAGAGATTGCTGGGCGTAAAAACAGCTCTCTGTGTCTGTGTATATGTTTTGTATATATATATATATATATATATATATATATATATGACTGTGTGTGCTTGTGTGTGTACAATGTGCGATTATTTTCTACGTATATACCTCAAGGTATTTGTTCTTCCTTTCTTATTTCTATCTATCTATCTATCTATCTATCTATCTATCTATCTATCTATCTATTACACCTAGCTTGAATTTTCCAGAATTACGTACCCTCGGAAAAAATAAGTAAATAAAAAAAAATAAAAAATAACCAAACTCTTTGGATTTGTGTGGTTGAAGTGACATCAATGCTTTCCTCCATAGCACTCTATGCAATCTTGCATTAGAAATATGCAATGAATACATGTATCCTATCTAGTGAAATACACTCTTTGAGTGCCGCATATAATTAATGTACACGTGATGAACAGATGGTCAGCGTCTCAAGCATATGTCATCAGCCACGTGACTGGCGGACGCAAACGGATCCAGTCTTGAAAATCGCGTTCAAATGACTATGATTCAGTTGAATTTTCTTTGAAACGGAGCCGAGCGTTTTTATCTATTGAATAAGTCAGTGTTGTTCTCGTACCTGTCCATATGCCCAATGCAGATGTGTGTCGACAAGTTAAACTCACTTGTGTAACCTGTCTAAGAGTTTGATTGAACTGTGTGGCTTAATTATGCTTAAAGAGGTTATTTATTTATTTATTTTTACCTGTTTTGAATAACGAGTGGCAGAGAAATATAGCGAAAGATAGATAGATAGAGAGATGAAGAGAGAGAGAGAGAGAGAGAGAGAGAGTGTGTGTGTGTGTGTGTGTGTGTATGTGAAAGAAATATGCTGGAAAATAGAGAATAAGGAAATGAGTGAAAAGAGAGAGAATAAGAAAATTAGGAAGAGAAAGAGAGAGAGAGAGAGAGAGAGACAGACAGAGGAAAGAAATGACAGTAAACGAGATTAAATGAAGTTTAGAATGTCCCGTTGTTGAAACTAAGTTAATGTTGATATTGTGATAATAATCAGGATGAGAAAACAGTGTTGTTCTTTTGATGCATCATCATCATCGTCATCATCGTCATCGTCATCGTCATCATCATCATCATCATCATCATCGTCATCGTCATCGTCATCATCATCATCATCGTCATCATCATCATCGTCGTCATCATCATCGTCATCATCATCATCATCATCATCATCATCATCATCATCATCATCGTCATCATCATCATCATCATCATCGTCATCGTCATCATCATCATCGTCATCATCGTCATCATCATCATCATCATCATCATCATCGTCGTATCGTTGTATTTGTTTATTTAACGGTTTATCAACCCCGTATGGAACATTTAACACCGAAATTTGATTTTTTTGGTTGCTTCACTTATTTTTTTTTTTTACAAAGATCTATTGTTAGTAATTTATTTAAAAAAATCTATACTTTCAGTTTTTGACCTTAATTTGAGGGTTCACTATTTGCCCACAGCTGGCACCCTAACAGGTGCTACCACCTCGGGTCTGGGTGGACCTGGGAACAACAGTAACTAAGAGGTGGTTCCACGTTCCTCAAAACCTCCAATCTCCCGATCAGAGGTCTTGCTGCTGGATGTAGTTATGCGTCATAAGCATAATTCGCATTTGTATCGAGAGGTACAAGCAAAGCTAATTTTATTATGATAATTTGCAAAAAACAACAATAGGTCTCTGTCTGAATTTCTGGAACGAGGAGTTATTATTACTTACATTATTTATACGCGGACTAACATCCTGGTCTTTGTTACTGTTGATACAAATTTCCAGCCGTTGCGCATGCGACACGCGAGGCGCGAAACGGGAAAGGGGACAGAGAAGGGAGCGGAAGACGACGAGCGTAAGCAGCGAAGAACGGGTTGACTCGGAGTTCGTGAACGACGCATCGCGCACAGACAGACGACCCGATATGAGCCACCGCCAGATGCACGAACGCGAGCACCCGTCACACCGACCCGAAAAACGCCGAACACCGCCGACCGAGACCGCCTAGCCCGACCCTGCGAACCCCGACCACGACCGCGACGCCGCGACGCCGACGGACCGCTACGACACTTTGAACCCGCGCCGCAAAGCGCGAACGGAGCGAACGCTACAGCCCCGTACAGGTTCCTCGCTTCACACGGGCACGGCCCGACCGACCCGGTCCTCGGAGCCAATCCTTCTTCCGAAGGTACGGATCCATTTTGCCGACTTCCCTTACCTACATTGATGCCATTGACGAGAGGCTGTACACCTTGGAGACCTGCTGCGGATGGTGGGTACGGACTCGAGAGCTGCGAAAACCGGACCCGGATTTTCCAGGGCCGCCAGCGCACCGGACGCCGCCCGAGCCGCGGCGCTCTGCAGGTACCTTTTCCGTATCTCCGGACGAGCCGATTCCACGGACACGGTCCTTTACGAAGAAGAGAACTCTTCCCGGGGCTCTCGGCGACGTCTCCGGGCTCGCTTGCGTCACCGCGGTTTCGCCCGAGAAGCGACGAGACGCCACCGACATCGCTGCCAGCAGCGCCGCCACCCCGGGGCACTCTCCGAGTCCGGGTTCGGGAATATTAATCCGATTCCCTTTCGACGGAAGGCCGGCCGTTCGTCGTTCGCGGCGTTTTGTTTGAGGACAACAAAAGAGAGACTTACGGATCCGGCGCCTTTCGGGAAGACTTTCGCCTGCGTCTTAGGACCGACTGACCCGTGCTCGACCGCCGTTGGCACGGAACCCTTCTCCACTTCGGTCTTCGAAGGTCTCGTTCGAATATTTGCTACTACCACCGAGATCTGCACCCGCGGTCGGCTCCACCCGGGCTCGCGCCCTAGGCTTCCGTGCTCCTACTCGTCGCGGCATCGGTTAGGCGCGCGCATCGTTTTCGTCCTACGCAAGCGCTCCTCGCCGCGACGGTCCGGCATTGGTCCGTCGCTCCAGCGCCATCCATTTTCGGGGCCGGTCGATTCGGCAGGTGAGTTGTTACACACTCCTTAGCGGATTCCGACTTCCGTGGCCACCGTCCTGTTGTCTATATCGACCGACACCCTTTCGGGGATCTCATGGGCGTCGCGTTAGGCACCTTAGCCGGACGTTTGGTTCATCCCACAGCGCCAGTTCTGCTTACCAAAAGTGGCCCATTTGGCACTCGCATTCGTTTCTGCCGCCGTCGAGACGACGACGAAGGCGGCAGAGAAGTGGGACGGCTCCGTATTCGGGAGAGCCGACCCGTTCCACCCGTTCCGAGTTCGAGAGTAGGTCGAGGCCGTGAACGGCCCCAGGGCCTCAATCGTTCGCTTTACCGGATGGAATTGCGACGATCGAACGCCAGCTATCCTGAGGGAAACTTCGGAGGGAACCAGCTACTAGACGGCTCGATTGGTCTTTCGCCCCTACACCCGGTTCCGACGATCGATTTGCACGTCAGAGGCGCTTCGGACTTCCACCAGAGTTTCCTCTGGCTTCATTCCGTGGATCGCCATCTTTCGGATCCCTTGCCGCTCGCTACGCCGGAGTCGGCCGAGTCGTACTCGGAGAAAAAATTACCGACCCGGGGGTGATGCGCCCGCGCGCAGCGCCTAAACTCGACGACCTAAATCGTGACTAGTTCAAGCCGCGGGATCTCACCGGTGGGCGATGAGAGGTAAGTTTGAGGCTGCACCCCGCGAACGAACCCCCGTGAGTTTTCCCCCAGCCACAAGCGCCCGAGCCCCTGCGTCATCTCCCGGCGACGGGAAAATCGTGGAGATACGGGACGGACGGAGGAAAAAGGGGAAACGAACGACGGGACGAAAACGGCAATCGCCGGCGGAATCGGGCACGGCTAGGCAGGCGGAAGGACGCGAGAAAGTCCCCGCCGGAACCGCTTTCGCCGCGACACCTCTCCCAGAACCGGTGCCCTCCCACGCGCTCTCTCGCTTTCGCTGCGCCTTCGGGGTTCTTCGGGGCCCTTACGACTCGCGAACGGCCAGGACTCCTCGGTCCGTGTTTCAGGACGGGTCGGGTGGGTTGCCGATGCACGTCGCAGACCCGAGGTGACGGGCAGCACAGTCAGACGCCGATCTACCGCGCTGGCAGTGCCCTCCCGCGCGTCCAGATTTTGGTGTCCGGACGCGGAGAAGACGACGCGACGAGACGACGTCACGCACCGGCATGGGAATCGACGCGGCCGCGCCGGTTTCGAAGCTCCCGCGAACACTGTCCCGCGCGCACCCGAGACGGATCGTCCGACAAGAAGAAACCGGTTCGCCACGTGTAACGGATCGCGTTTTCGTTTCCTCCGTCCCCAGCAGAAGGGGGCAGTACGCTCGCGGGCCCGACAGAAGACGCCTCCGCCCCCGACAAGCAGGGGTGGAGTTTAGAGTGCTCCTTCCGCCTACGGACACTGCGCGTCGACCTGCACGCCGGGAACGGGTCGCGACGACGGACCGGAGGGGAAGTGCGTCCGGTGCCGGCCGTGCGGAATGTGAGCGTCGCGCCGAAGCGCCCGCGCCATATCATGCCGAGCGAAGGAAAGGTGCGGGTGATCGCGAGGAATGGAGAGGAGGAGCAATCAACGACTGCTCGCGGTCGTAAACGGAAGCGACCCCGCGGTCTGCAAGCGGGAGACGAAGGAGAAGAGAAGATGAGAAGCAGCCTCCTCCTCCTGCGATGTCCCGGTTTCCTCCGCGTGAGAAACGGGCAATTCTTTCATGAAGAAAGAATGAACGACGTGGTGGACGGTGAGATGCCTCTCGACTATCGAGTGAGAAGACATGCTATTTTCCGCCTCTCGACCGGACGGGGCCCCGAGACAAGGGATCTCGAGGCCGCAATGTGTGTTCGAGGTGTCGATGTTCACTGAGTCCTGCAATTCGCATCAGTTCTCGCGGCTGGCCGCGCTCTTCATCGACGGACGAGCCGAGTGATACCCCGTCCAGGGTTTTGTTTTTGTTTTTTGGATAAGTTTTCGTGACAGGTTAAAAAATGTGTGTGAGGAGAAGCAAGGAGGCCGAGTTGTTGCGCGAGCGACCGATACGGTAGCAGTCCACAGCAGACTGGCACCCCGGCAACCACCACAATTTTGTTGAGGACAATAACGGCGGCGTGGACCGTACACGTAACCAGGTCGACGTCGGCGTGAGACGGAGGCTGGTCGGCGGCATCCGTCTCGCGATCGTGAACGGCGGTAGCGGCAGCGCCCCTCGAATCGTGTGCGCGTCTAACCGAACTCGACCTCCCCGCACAGGGACGTAGAGGCGGCAGCAACGGCGGCGGCGGCGGTACGTGAAACGGGACGGCTGGACGTAATACGGCTGGAGACGGGCGCCCGTCTCGCGCAGAGAGCAGAGGATATTTTTTGTCGGACGAGTAGGGAGGAGGAGCAGCATCAGCAGCAGCAGACGCAAGGAGGCGAGGCCGTCCATGCGACGGTGGCGCGGCCATTTCTTTTTGCCTGCTGCCGCGAAACGAGCGCAAGCTCCCCCCCCCGCCAACCCTGTTTCGCCAACGAATAACGTGCTACCCGCGACCGACCAGTCGTGACGGCGGTTTCTTGACGGCGATACACGCCGCTCGCTACGAGTCCTTACCGACGAGTCGTCAAGAAATAAATAAATAGAGAGAAATGACCGAAAAGCTTCAACAGCAGCAGCCGCAGTAGAAAAGAAAAACCTTAGTGGCAGCAGTCAGGCATGACAAGCAGTAGCAGCAGTACCTATCTGCGGGCAGGTTAGGTTTAAGGCTTACAGTTCTCCACTCAGGATTGTCCCATTACGTGAACAGTAGCCTGGAACCAACACTTTAATCCACTAGGCAAGTGCTCTACAACGAGACACCAGTTTCAGAGTATAGAACTGAGTTTCGCAATCTTTTATTGATTTTTAAGTCTGAGATTGCATATGTCACAAAACCTTCTTGAGACCAGATATTGGTTGTTATTTTCATCATTCGCAATGCAGCATTTATCGCCAAATATGTGTTTATCTACTAAATAGCTTCGTTCATTACTTACTTTAGGATTAAGATTTCCCGTGATTTTGGCATTTATTTTTGTGATTTGCACAACTTTTTGATGTTATCTATAAACTTATCGCTTTGTTCATCCGTGGTTTGTAACGTTGGCACTCAATATGATTATATTGGATGAATTCCTTTTCAGTTTCATTAGAGGAATTTATACAGTTACCAGTATACCAGAACAAATGTTTTCTTGTCATTGTCTAGTATTAGTGCAGCTCCTATTTCATTTCAGTCTTCGCCTGCACATATGATTCTGTGCCCATACTTCATATACCCATAGAATGCTCATGCTTATTAGTATAGTTTACTAATATTTCATGTCACCTTTGCAATTTTCTATATGTTGCTGGATGGCATTTGTTATACATGGATCTCTTTACCACGTAAAGAGTCGCAAGGGAGGTAACCAATTTTTCGTTGTTTTCTGTAATTTTGATTTATTTACTGCCACGATTTTTGTTGGAAATGTCAGTGTAAATAATTGACTTCTTCACGGTGACTTTGTTGGAACACCATTTCTAGTTAGTTGGTTGGTTCATCCGCTATTTAGTATACTATATTTTCTATCATATAGGGTTGTTAACCACAGAACTCATTCATATATTTGTTATTTGACATAGAAGATTGCTATGCGTCGATAACGGTCGCGGAATAGCAGACACAGGTTGTAATTTCATGATATGGTTCTGTGATGTCATACCACATGAGAGACCGAAATATTAACAACAGAACCATATGTCTATATGCAATGTAATGTGTTGTGACTAGTTTGAAATGTAATTTTGTTGAGTGTGGGTTGCTTTGTTTTAATGTAGATGGCCTCCAATATCTGAAGGTTTTTTTTACTGTGTGTATGTGTGAGTATTATTGTGTTATCAACTAATATCTGTCTAATAATATGTACATGGCTATGTTTTTTCTAAGAAATGTTGTTTAATAGAACTAAGATCAGGAAGGTAACAGGTAAGTCTACGAGGAAGTGTGATTGTAGTAAAACCAATATATGTAGTGGCTTTATTATTAGTATCAGAGATACAATCTCTGAACGGACATGTAAATTGATACATTACATTGGTTTTTTTCTAGAGGATTTAGTTGTGGTTGTAGGATTATTACAGACTAAGAGGTCAATTGGTTTAAATGTTTTTATAATATATAATGAGCTTAACTTGTTTATTATTATTAATGGGTTTAACATTTCTACTTATTATGTTTTTGAATGTTTTTTCATCATGTTTGTAATTATTATGCATTTGGTTACAATAGTAGAAGTTAATAGTGTTATGTTTATTTTGACGTACATTTTTATTATTGATATTATCAATTTTGTTAGAGGTATTATTTAGTTTGAGATACATTTTAATTTGTTGATCAATGACGAAATTAGGAAATCCATTATTAACAAGTGTTTATTTAATGTTATGTAATTCTTTATAGAATATGGTTTGGGAATAAGATATCATTTGTGTGTGTTGGATTAAGTTTTTTTTTTTATAACGGCTAACTGATATTGTTGGGGGTAGTCACTATTGTAATTAAGAAGACACAAGTTAATGCTGGTGGGCTTCCTATAGTGATTTTCCATGCGTAGCTTGGATGTGGCACAAGGCTGAATGTAAGGGGCACCCAGTGACGATTGAACTCACTACTCAGTTGTAATTGTTCTAGCAAAACAAGCTTGCTAACCATTACACCACCTCGAGACGCCCCTTGTGGGCTTCATATATAGAGAAGTAGTAAATTTATGTGTGCTGGAATCAATAAATACATCAAGAATGGAATTTTATTATTAGCATTAAGTTCTAATGTAGGTATGAAGATGAAGTGACTTTCAAATATATTTTTAAGTTGTGTAATTTGATTAATATTTTTAGCTAAACCGAAGATATTATCTATGTATCTTATATACATAGTGGGGTTTAGTAGTGTCACTAAGTATTGTATTTTCTAAATGTGCCATATAATAATTAGAAAAAAGGGGGCCTAAAGAAGATCCCATCACAATACCATCTTTTTGATGTATCACGGATAATGATGTCATTTCATAGATGGGGACATTAGTAAATAAATGTTATACATTCAAATATGTGATTATTTAGTTGTTTGGTTTTACAGCATGAAGAATTTGTATAAATTCATTTGTGGACTTAATACAATATTGGGAGGTAGGAAGTAATTAATTTGTTAAGGTATTTTGAAAGGTAATAGACTGGTGTAGGTATTTGTGAAATGATAGGTCAAAGGGGATGATCTTTTTTATGGATTTTTACATTTCCATAAAGGGAGCCAGGTTGATAGTCACCTATAATCTTTTGAAGTTTATAAGATCCTATTTCAGCATTGTTAGCAGTAATAAGTTTATTGATATGGTTTTTAGGTTGGGAGGTAGTGTTTTTGGTTAACTTTTTAAATTTATTATGATCGTCGAAAATGGCCTGTAATTTTGATTGGTACTCATGTTTGTTTAAAATAACGAAAGTATTAGTTTTATCAGTTCGTCGAATAATAATACTATTGTTATTTTTTAGTCGTGTGGCTGCTTTTATTAAAGGAGTGTTTT